TGCGACAATCAGCCTCACTATGGAGAACATTTGTCCAAAGTTAAATTAAAATTCCGCCACCCATGTAGAAGTTACGCTCTCGACACTGATTTCAAACCGACCCACCAAGTGTGACCTTGATTTTTGAGCGGTGGAACTGGGCTTTGCGTGTGGCACACCATCCCATCATGTGATCATTTGTATTAAACTTTATTTGTTTTATGATCCTTCATCCTTCAAAGAATTAGCAAGATATAGACCAGACAAATATAGACGGACGCACGAACTGACGGACACACATCAACCAAGCCGCAAAAAGTGATTTTTTAAAATCAAACAAATCATCTGACAACTTACCAATATACAGCGCCATCAAACAGATTTTGACATTTTTATTTGACCTTTGCCTTGACCTTCATTTTTAGCAAGACAACTAAACCCATAAACTTAGCATGGAGATATTTGTCCTAAGTTATACTTTAATTCAACCATCTATATAAAGATTATGTTCGAAAATTAATGTTTCATTTTGCAATTTAAATTTTGAGCTCTTAATGTGACCTTGATCTTAGCCACAGACACCTGAATATTTCACACGACACTCCGCTTTACTATGGAGAACGTTTGTCCTGAGTTATATTAGAATCTCTCGATGTATGTTGGCGTTACGCTCCAGACACGGGACTCCCAAGTGAGACATTGACTTTTGAGCAGTTGACCTTGGTTTGTGTACAACACACCATTTAATCATGGTTAAATTTTGTACTAAATTAGTTTGCAATTCTTCAAAGAGTGAGCAAGATATAGACCGGACAAATCCGGCCGGACGCACGAACGGACGCTAAGACATCAAACTATACGCCAGAAGTGACGACTAATTTTTTTTCTCTTTTGTATCATAGTCAAACATACAAATACGTTCCCTGTTGTTACAAAATGAAACCCCGCAAAAGAAGTAACCAATGAACGAGCATCTGTATATGATTTGTGTCACGTTCCCCTTTCTGTGTCGCCATAATAGGTTAACCCCCCCCCCCCCCCCCCCAAAAAAAATAAGCCAATCAATGTGCATGCCCTAGAGTGCGGATAACTTATACCTGCCACTCAAGTAAACGCACTGTGAATGCATATAGATACGATTAAAATCTGACAAGGGCCGAAAACTATGATACATGTTAAGATAACACTTAATTTAAGTTTTACCCATGAACTAGCGTTATGTGCCGATAAATCGTACAACTATTTCATTCTTTTTAATCCAGATCCTTATACGGAAGGATCAGGTGTCGACCCATTCAAAATCTAGACATTTCTAATTTCTAGTCATTTTAAAGGGATGTAACATGTCAACGTTAATTAATCAAAGTTCTTTCTTGTATGTTTATGTTGTTTTATGTTGTTTTATGCTGTTGGAAAGAATTTCGAGGAGTGCCATCATGCCACCAATTGTCATCCACTGAGAAAAAATGAAACATTTTTTATGGATTCCAAGATGAATGCCAAATTATCAGAAGTCATCTTACTGATTAAGATTATAAGTGCATATTTAGATGAAATTCACGTATACATGTATTTATTATTATTTTGAAACACGTGTACGTTAATTTTACGAAATTCATATCTTTTCTGATGTGGCGGTCATTTTAAAATGGGACATTAAACAGATACATGTTTTTTGAGTCTAACACCATTCACAAAATAACTTGCAATACTAGTATTTCATTGATTCAGAACATAAATTGTCACCTGCTCCAAATCAACGTTCACATTAATGTCACTCGTAACAGTTATTTTTTGTCTCAAGATGGCGTCCAAAATGGCCACAAATTCGAAATATGAAAGTAAGTCATTTCTGGCATATTAAAGTGTATTTAAGAAAAGTTTACATTTACAACTAGCAAGAGTCACTTTCATGAAATAACATGACTGGTACCTGATAAATGTAAAAATCATTTAGATTTCAAAACGACATATATTTAACAAGATGACAACCAAACATTAATAATTCTAAGTCATTAACTGATAGAGTGATCATGGTCATGAAGCAGATATAAATTGTTTTTACAAAACTTTTTTTTCTTCAAGAATTTTAATAATTTTCGGCATTGTATATGCAGTAATGTCATTGGTCCAGATATATAAAAATATTGAAAATTAAAAATAATTATTGTAAAATATGCTTGAAATGAAGTTACAGCTGTAGCCACGCATCCTGAATAATTATAAATATTAACTCAAACGTACTTAAACGAAAATTGAACTGTTTGAAAATAAGAAGCAATGAGACAAAATTAAGTAAATGGCTGACAGAGCAGAATTTTATTTGTAACATCTGTTTTTGAAAAAAATATAAACATGTATTTATTTATTAAAGCACGCCCATATATAAAACATAATATACAAACAAAAGATACATAAATAACCATTCTAAATAGAATTACAGGACACGATTTACTTCTTACTTTAATACATTCACAATTAAACAAGTACGTCTAGTTTGTTAAACAGTCATACATATAAGATATTTTAAGTGGTAAATTTATAAAACATGTGCAACCTAAGCAACAAATATTTTTTATATTACTGACACATCAACATTTAATCAACACTTAGAAAACTTAGTAAAATTGCTCAGTGATGTTACTAATGTATCGAAGTATCGATCGCAATCTTTACGGGACTCCACTGAGGTTTTATGACGTGATTTGACAAGAAATAATATTTCAAGATTAATATTACACGTTCATAGTAAATAAAATGACGTGATTCAGAAAACCTTGCAATCTGATACTGATAAGATAAATAAATGGTGAAAACTAAACAACATGGCAATAAAACCAAAACAGACCATTTGTATGGTAATTGGATCAGAAAAAAGATTAAGATTCAAACCTTCTTTAGATATTAATATACAAGGTACATGCCTAGGTCAAACGAAATCACAGCAATTATTAGATATTTACTTAGATGAAAACTTAAAATGGAATGTCATTTTCTTGATGTACAAGACGTTTGATTATTTTAATTTGTTCTATCTAAGGATTGCAATTTGCAATTTTTGCAATTTACAATTCATTATAAATATGTTTTATATTCACAATAAACTGCCTCTTGCTGTAAATTAACATTTACATTTAATTTTACTCTTATCAGTTCATTTTTTAGTCTCAGAACGGCATCCAAAATGGCTATAAATTAAAGATAAGTCGTTGTGGACATATTAAAGCATTTCTAAGAAAAGTTTAAATCTACTTATAGCATAAATTACTTTCATAAAATAACATGACTGGTACCTGACAAACGCACATTATCATTAGAATTTAAGAGGTGGGAACAAAAATTTACTGTATTGCATTCACTGATAGAGTTATCATGTAATAATAATCATGTAAACGTTATAAATTGTTTTACAAACTATTTTATTTCTAAACTGTTAATAAACTTTCTACATTGTTTATGTTTTTATTTGCGATATCATTTGGTCTAAAAATTTAGAAATATCAAAATTTGTGAAAAAGGCAGCTAGTTTTGTAGCCGTCATGCAACTTTAATATGATAAATTTTATTTCTAACCTGTTACAAGTCATTAAAACAGAAAATGAAATTAAACTGAAATGGTATTAACTACCTTTTAATTACATCTACATCATATCTAAGATTTGGGTTAATTATGGCACCAAAAGCTATAAAGTAGTTGGATGACAAAACATGATTTTTTTCGATACATGTTTTATTTCACAATTTAAGTACTATTATAGTTATTTGTTATATGGTCACAATTGTTCAACTATTTCAACTGGTAAAATTAATAAAACATTTACCAATTTAGAATCAATTAATAGTTTAAATGGCTCTTTGTAAAACTGCACAGTGATGTATATAAGTACTGACCGTCATTTTAAACTCCACCTCAAATATTTCAATGTCACAACTCCAATATAAGCCAGTGCAGAACTCAATTGATACCTTCAGAACACTGGATCCCAAAGTGCGTTGATATGTAGGAAATTAACGCACTTTGTGGTCAATTTCACGATTTTGACCACAAAGTACGTTTGATCCCAAAGTGCGCTGTGAAGTGTTCCGCAATTTGGGGTCGGATCTCAAAGTGCGTTTGACCCCAAAGTGCGGGATTACAGGCCCTGAATACATGTCATCAAACTGGTTGATCACTACGTATATTTTGTTAATTTGTGCATTACATATAAACCAGTATGATGGCATGATGAAATACTAACACGCTACACTTACACTGCATTGTCATTCACCCAAAATGGAAACATGGTAATGGCATCACGGCTTAAATAACATGTACATGTTTCAACTTCAGTAAGCACGGTACGCTTGTCAACAAGCATGCTGAATATGCCAACACGCTTATTGACTATACTAGTAAGCACAATACGAATGTGAATGAGTAAATTGTAACAGCCATCAACAGCCATCAGACACTGTGTAATTTTTACCTAAATGGAATTCCATAGTAAAGACTAAGAGTTATTAGAAATACTACAACGGAAAGGAAAATATCTCAAGAGCACTTACATTTAAAATGGCAGAATTTGTATGATTTAGACTCTTCACGAGAGATAGTAAAAAAAGCAATTACATGTGACAGGCCCCCAAGCACCGGTATGATAATATTCAATCTTTATCGTGAAACGTATTGGAAAACATGATCAGAATGGACAAGATGAATATTACAACCGTATTTTAGTTTGATTGAGTCTGTTAAGGAAGTGACAACTGCAACATCGAACACGCCCTCTAGCACCGGTATGATGAAATATTAAATATTTAATATATAATGTATTGGAAAACATGATCAGAATGGGCAAGAAAAATATATAGCAACCTTATTTAAGTTTGATCGAGTCTGTTAAGAAAGTGACAACTGCAACATCGAACACGCCCCCCCTAGCACCGGTATGATGAAATATTAAATATTTAATATTTAATGTATTGGAAAACATGATCAGAATGGACAAGAAAAAATATAACAACTCTACTTTCTGCCATACCTTGTTGACTCCGTTCCTGGTGATAAATCCACTGGACATGTTGTTCCTGCAGACATTCTTACTCCGGTGATTAATTAGAAACATAAACAATATTTTGATTTTTTAAAATTATTTCTAAATTCCTATATAGATATCACTTATGCGTTAGAACGTAATTTCTTATTTATTTAACTTTTTAATTGATAAAGCGTGAAACATATGCAAATATCGTGAAATTGAAAAATATATCCACATTTGCATAAATCAAATATTTGAATATCGTAAAACTTGTTAAACCCGCGTAATGAAACTATTTCTGGGTTAAATAAACCTTAGTTAAATACACGCGTCCGTGAGCTACGGTTTTTGCAATTCTGCCATATACACGATTTAAGGTGAGCTATTGATAAATCATGCACAATAGTAATCGCTTATTACAGTCTTTTATTTATTTACTCTTACAGTCTTTACTATGATTTTTCTCATTTTTTTATAAATTCTTATCAATAACACAATAGCCAATGAATTTCTTATATTTCAACGAATTACACTTCTGTTTCTTAAAGATCCTGTAACACAATTTTTGCAATGGTTTTATTTCAAAAATACAATGCTCAAATTAAGCTTTGTCAGTATTGTAAGTTCCAATAAGCATTTCCGAATTTAACATATCATGGAAATAAATAGAGGTAATTAGAAATTGCTTTTTTTTTATAAATTTGAAGTTATTTTTTACAATAAGAAATGAATGCATATGATTCGTTGATTAAATATAATGTACAATTATATTTGCAGTACACATTTTACATATTCTTAGATGTTTGAAAATTGTTTTATTTGCATAATTATACACATATATAATTTTTTGCAAGTGTGGTACACACACACACACAGTAACAATATCAATCACAAAACATACAGAATCTTTAAAAATTGTCATCTATCTGTAACTAATCCTTTAAATTTAATTCATTTATTTCTCCCTCTCAAATGCTTTGTATTTGCATCGGTCACTGATGCAGAATAAGCAATCCCTAATATTAAAAAAGTCTTAAAACTTGTATGTAAAATGCAAATTGATGAATAACTTATATATGATTCTTGAATAAAGTGTATTCATGCATATTCCTTTCATTTAAAGACAAATTATCTCCAAAAATGCATTTTAATTTCATTTTTCATTTTTTATTTGTTTAGATTTTGCTTACTTTATCACTGACATTTTTACATTTAGCGATGCGTTTTCAGGTAATAGGCATTTAAAATGCCCTAAAACAATTATTTAAACGTCATTAAACTCTTGTCTGCCCTGAAGAAGAAAATCATTCGTTTCTAAGGCATAATGTGCCTTTAAGATAAACACTTTCTTTAGAGAAGACCCCTGCTTACGTTGTGTGCTATGGGTAAATGCGTAAGCCCAATTTTTTCACATTTTATCAAAAATAGTATTATTGGGAAAATAATATGTTTAAATACTCGTGATTATGACTTTCGAATAAAAACTGTAATCAATGATTCAAATCGTTACTTTCTTTGTAAGGTGGTACTCAAAAGTTTTGTTATGATTTGGCTGATATCTTAAAAAGATATTCAAACTTCTCTGTTGATGCTATAAAAACGATTTCAATGCAAGGGATCATTGCTTACACACAATCCTTTACTTTATATTGTTCTCCTCTTCACGTAATTGCGACCGACTTAAATGTCAAAATGACAAGGTGGGACTGCTTTCCATTTCATTTGCATAAATTCTCAATTTTGACCTCAACTATTTAAAATTTCAACATATTAAATTCACGATTTCACGATTTCAACTTCACGAATTCAAGTTGTCTTTTTTTTTTTAAATCTTAAATAAACATCTTAATAAATCAAAATCAACATCATTAAAATCAGTTTTCGCCAAATTTAAGCGTCAGTGATTTCTGTGGCGACATATGGGATCATTTCTCCGTCGTCTGTCTGTCTGTCCGTCACAAAACTTGAAAGGAGTACACCTCAAAAACTACTGTGCAAATCATCCAAATTTTACAGCATTGGTCAGTACAAAGTCGATGATTTTTGTCAGAGTTATGACCCTTGACTTTATTTTTTAAAAGTTTTTCCGGATTACTTCTCTCAATCAATCCTGTCAAGTTTCATTGAAATAGCATTAAGTGTTTATGAACACTTTTAAGGGGGCAGGGGGCATATTCGTATGATGGCCCCGGTCAAATTTTTTAATAACTCAGACATGGTGTTTTGAAGGTACTGATAACTTCTGATATTTCTCTGTCATTGTAATTCTTTCTTGTTTGTGTGTAGGAAATGAGATATATTTTTGGGTTTTTACCCGAAACTAAGCATTTTGGTAGCTTTGTATGTATTTCTGACTCTCCGAATGGAGGTGAAAAATCAAGCTTTGACAGTTGGCGCCAAAAAGTAAGAAATTTCAGATAAATTTTGTGAAAAATCTAAACGTATGACAGACACTTTATTTGTCATTTCTGAAAATGCTATAGCTTGCACTGCGTGTTACTGATATTTTTAAAGGAATCGGGCGGATTCTGGAGTATGCTGCACCTTCATGAAGATTGCCCATATTGGTATATTTTAGGTGTGATTTTGGCTGGGTGGGGGTAAATAAAAATTGCTGTCATTCATTTTTTGAAGGAGCAATGCATGCAAACTATTATTTTCTTCAATGTATGTCATATATCATTGAATAATGCTGTGCAACTGGTTATCTGCCTGTGAAACAGATTTTGAAATATTTGGAATTGTGTTTCTGGTCACACTGAAATACAACATTTTTCATTTTTAGGTCCTCTGCCCCCTTAATGCTATTTCAATGAAACTTGACGGGATTTATCAGTAGCTCAAGTACTTGCGCATATTACATGGGTTTTTCGGTTGAATGATTTTTGGACTGAGTTATGGCCCTTCAATAAAAAAGATTTTTTTTGTGTGTGTTGCCAGTTATACAGAAGATTGCAAGAAACTACCGGTGCAATTTCATCAAAACTTTACAGGAATTATCATTACCAAGTCTTGATGCGCTGCGCAAATCATTGACAATTTTGGGTTCAATTGCTTTTGCCAAAGCTATAGCCCTTTAATGTTGTTTTTTGTTGTTGTTGTTTTTTTTTTTGTATTTTGTTTTTTGTTTTTAAAAGATTGTTTGGTAGTAGATCAGTAGCCTAAAAAAGACCGGTAGGGCCATTTCAACTTCACTAATTTCCAATTTAATCTTCATAAAATTCGCAATTCTCATTTCGTGAATTTCTGTTTTTAACATATGGAATACACGAATTCACGATTTCAGCTTCATGAATTCCCAATTTAAACTTCATGAACTCACGATTTCAACTTCATTAATTAACGATTTTAACTTCACAAATTCAACTTCATGAATTCACGATACACCTTCACGAATTTACGATTTTAGCTTCATGAATTCGCGATTTAAACATCATGAATTCAACTTCGTGCATATCATCGGCATTTTAGGGTTCAATGATTTTTGCCAACGTTATGACACTTTAATGTTTTATTGTTTTTGTTTTATTTGGACTACTCCTCTTATTACACTTATGTAAATTTCAATGAAACTTATCAAGATTAATAGGTAGCTCAAGTACGTGTGCATTTCACAAAGTTTTTTTGGTTGAATGAATTTTGGCTGAGTTATGGCCCTTGAAAAAAGACGCATTTTGCCATGTTGTCTTCTGCTACACAGTAGCTGCAACATGCAATTGGCTAACATGAGGCTGCACACGTGATCATCGATCGCTCTTGTTATAAGATTAGAACTACAATCATTTTTATTTGTTTGGGTCGTCAGACCAAACAAATAATGGTAGCGAAATTTCAGAGTCTGATGCTGTTAATTGCAAATGCCGAAAGTAGGCCGCTTTTTTGAAGCGCTTACTTCCTTTTATATGTACACTAACGCCGAAAAAATTCAGGGGAGATCACTGCGTAAAGACAAGGCGCATTAATTTTCAAGCAAAATAATTCCAGAATGGTCGAAGATTTCTAATATTGTTTTATCCTTTATAGCTCCATGATTATTAACATCTGTGTTAAACAACAGTTAGCGTCGAAATAATAAGGGTTACAAACCCTAATTTAGAATAATATGGTTTTCTTCAGGCCTTTTACATATAACTTCACCGTGGCCGAGGGGTCTGGAGTTCAAATCCAGGAAGGCAACTCTTTTTTTTTCAAATTGTTTAAATCAAATAAACATTGAATTGAATATCAGTGTTGCAATTAGTCTTAAAGCCAATTAACTACAATTAAAACGCTGGAAAGCACTGGTGGCACTATACAAAAACAAATTGGTTTATAATCTCACAACATTCACCTTTCTGACATTCTGAGACCCAAACAAATTCAGCGCCATCTGTGCTTTGATTATGTATTGGAAACTGTCAATCACCATTCACACTTGAACTATCCCTTTAATGTTTAGCAACTATCCCTTTAATGTTGAGTATTACGACCATCTGAACAATGAACGTATGAATTTAAAGAAGAATAAAGTATGTACGGATGAACTTGAAATTGTTACATTAAGCTATAATTAATGTGAAGCAAATATTCAAGTCAGGAAATGCCCTTGTTTGTAATTTGAGGTTAATGTCAACACAAAAATGAGGTACTGCCGCTGGTCAGTGATTATGCCATGTTAGGAAATATGTAAATGGTAACAATTTATATATTTCTGTCCTCATCTTTATATAATCGCATTAAAGTGCGTATCTTATCTCAGCTTTCAACACAGTGTATTTATTATTACCATTATTATCATTGTAATAATTATTATCATTATTGTTATTTTAATTATCATTATCATCATCATCATCATCATTATTATTATTATTATTATTATTTTTTGTGCAAAAGATTTCGATGATAAAAAAAAACAAATAAAAAATAAAACAATATCATTATAAAACGATAATGGTTGTTTTTAATATACCTGATAATGAACTACAGAGATATTTGTATAAAAATGACTCTGGCGCGAAATTCCTCGTATTACTAAGAAGAATGTAACGTATTTTTTGTATTGTTACATTGAGCATGACACTTTTTGTATATAAAACACATGCCAATATTCAAGTCAGGCAATGCTCTTGTTTGTTATTTGA